TAATAATCTATGTAGAAGTGTCCCGACTCTCCCCCACTCCCCAATTTTTTGTCTTTATTTATTTTTTTCTCTACTCATTCTTCATTTTTTCTATTTTAATTTCCTCCTTCTTCATGTAGTTGACATGGCATCTGCCATCGGAGCAAGACCACTTCGCTTTGCCCCTCCAATCCTCTATGGGCTTTCGTCCATCTCATCCTTTTGGCTATCAGACGAATCGATCTCGTCCTTCATACATCAATAGCCGCTGTAGCAGATCAACGACATCCTCAACAAAACGATCTTGTAGTTCTGTAGGGGCAATGATAGGGTTTCAGAGGGATTGATCGATGACAATGACAAGCTTCTCACTATCTCTAGTCCAGCCTCTCTTCCTTCCGCAAACAGCGACTCAAGGTTATCTCTTCCACCTCCTCCTTGTTTTTTTTTTTTGAAACAAATTCAAAGTTGTAAACTTTGAAGAAGGAGAAATTGAATTGTTGTTGTTCTTTTTGTCTGTAGATTCTTGAAGTAGAAGAGGAAAAATAAGAGTTTTATGATTTATTTATTTATTTATTTATTTTTTTTTTGCGATTATCGGTTTTGGCTGTGGTAGTCTGGTGGGTTTCTGTGTTTCCATTTCTTGTGCAGGGGAACAAGATTGAGTCAATTGAAGTTGTGGGTTCATGCGTCTGATGATGAAGACAGATCCATCGGGTCTCGTAGGAGAGAGAGAAATCATTTTGAAGCAAAGAAGGGGTTGGGTTCGAGGGACGATGGAGATCGGTGAAGCCATTTCTGGTTTGGTGATTAGAGAAGATGGCAAATGGAGCCGTTTCTGGTTCGAGGGACGATGGAGATCGGCGAAGGATGGAGATCGTCAAAGCCGTTTCTAGTTCGAGGGTGTTATTGGACTTTAGAAAGTTTCATTAAAGATGCACTGTAGCTCCGCATGCTTTAAAAAAAAGCTAGTTTTCCAAAGCAGCATTTAGCTGCTTCAGCTTTTCTGATGATTTTAGCTGTCAATCACAGTAGCTTCCAAAATAATCCCTTTTCTTTTAGTTTACCAAATTCCTTCAACATAAAAACTTTAAAAATAAGCATTTTTTTTTATATAAGTACCTCAATGCCAAACCATACCTAATTCTAACCTACTTGCTGGAGATGGCTTTTAGATATTTCTGGACTAAAAGATCCATTCAGATCATGGACGAGGAAGGCCTTAAGTTTAAAGACTGGTGCATATATTTTGCATACCTTTAGCGACGGCTACAATCTTCAAGGCCTTGGTTCTGAGTTTTTCAGAGCTCAAATGCACTTTCATAACTATCTTTTGCTGCACCTTTGTATAAAAATCAAGCTTTTTTTCTGTACGGAAACTCTATATTCTATGAATCGATGAATTTCTGTTGGGTATTTTGTTTCTTGGACTTGAGCACTTTAGAGCAACTCCACCCCTATCCACTTTGCACCAACACCCAGCCCATTTATCCACTTAATTGAACAGTAATAGACCCAATGAACAGTAATAGGCCAAAGCATCTCCACCCCAAAAAAAATGTGCTGGCACCTAGTCTAAAAATGCACTGGCACAAACGATCTCCACCCCTACAAAATGCGCTGGCACCCAGTCCATTTAAAATATTAAATAAATTTTTTATAAAATAATAAAAAAAATAGTTTTAATTTCGGATAGGATTTTTAACCAATCTCGTCACGCCACGTGTCATTATCCGAACGTACTATTTTTTGAATAGATTTCCGCTAAGATTTTCAACCAATCCCGACAACCCACGTGTCACTTCCTGTTTACAATAATTTAGACAAGATTTTGATAAGATTTTTAACCAATCTCGTCACGCCACGTGTCATTATCCGAACGTGCTATTTTTTGAATAGATTTCCGCTAAGATTTTCAACCAATCCCGACAACCCACGTGTCACTTCCTGTTTACAATAATTTAGACAAGATTTTGATAAGATTTTTAACCAATCTCGTCACGCCACGTGTCATTATCCGAACGTGCTATTTTTTGAATAGATTTCCGCTAAGATTTTCAACCAATCACGTAGTGCCACGTGGCATTGTCCAGAGCCTCATCTTCTTCTTTTTTGTCCATATAAACCCTACATCCCTACATCCATCCTCACACTAAACTCAATCCTTTTTTTTAGCTCAGAATTCTTCTTTATCGTTTTCAAATCTTGAGTTCTTACAATGTCTTCTTCAAGGAGAGCGTATAAACAGTTGCAAGAGCAGCAGAAAAGGTTGTTGGCACAACATGAAACCTGTAATTGGGTCATGAGTAGTGCGAACCCAACATTCACACAACGTAACATCTTCACTGAGCTTCCACGAAGTCATTTTTTTCTCTCAAAGTGTACAAAATATTCAAATGTAGAAAGTGTAGAAAGTGTAGAAATTATTGAAATGTGGTGTAAGGTGGAAGATGAGGGTTAGGTATTTATAGAAAAAAAAAATTAATTTTTTAAAATTTTTCTGTATTTTTTTAAAAAAATTTGACAATTTTTAATTAATTTTTAATAAATTTTAATGTTGTAATTAATCTGGACCGTTGGATTTGAAAAATAATCAAATCCAACAGCCAACACGCTGACACGTGGCCAACGGTCAAATTTCTGACCGTTGGGCCTTTTTTTTTTTTTTTTTTTAAATTTTTGGTGAAAAAAACGTGGACCGTTGATCTGTGATCGGACGGTCCAATTTAAAAGTGAAATTAAAATTTTTTTTACCGTTGGAAATCCAACGGCTCTGAGGAGGGCCACGTAGCCCTCAGCCGGATGAATGCAAGTTGCCCTGCACGCGGGCCCCACCGCCTGCAAAGCTTGTCGGCTACTCGCCTGGACTCCCGCGTGTTGTGCACGCGCCATCAAATGGACCGGCTTCTGGGTCCGTCCGAAATAGGCTGGGCTGCTGCCTGGCTTGGGCTGGGTGCCAGCCTGTTTCTTGGGCTGGAGGTGATGGACAGAGTCCCGGTCCATTTTCTTCACTTGGTGTCGGTCCATTTTCCTTGGGCTGGAACTGCTCTTAGAGGTTAATAGAAAGTACCAAAAGCTATGCTATATTTATAGCACGATTCTAAAAATTTCTGCCTAACAATGTTTAGGCCTCGCCTAAGAGCTAGGCGGCTAGTCATGATCCCGGTTAGTCTCTAGGCGTTTAAAAATTAAGAAAGTGCACCTAAATCCACTTAGGCTTCCGCCTATCCCGCTTAGGCGCTCGCCTAACTCGCTTAAACCTGCCTATGTCACGACTCTCATTTAGATAGAAAATCGATAATTTTATTTTTGTATTTTATTTTGTCAATAAAATGTAAGAAACTTGTTAAATACTTGGATGAACACTTATTATATGTTTGTTACCCATTTTGCAATATATTCTAATACTTTATAATTTGTATGTCATTTTATTTTGCAATTGATAAATCACAATACAATTATGTTTTTTTTTAATCTAAATATGCACTTATATATATATATATATAATATAATAAATTTACATAAAATCCGTTTAGTTCATCTTGGCCTCCACCTTGACCCCGCTAACCGCTTAATAATACCATTACCTGCTGTTGACTAGTCTCAATAGGAGACAAGCTATTTCCACAGCTTAAAAACCTAGGTTTCCATACACTTAGTCAACGCCACCGGAGATTACTCAAATTAATTCTTTAGTAAAATACAGTTGACGTTTTCTTTGATGCCTCCATCTCCTCATCAGAATGCCTTGTAATTGGGTGTTCAAAGTCAAGCACCACGCAGATGGTTCCATTGAACGTTTATAGAGCCTGTCTCGTAGCTAAAGGATATATGGTCAGCAACGTGGTTTTGATTACGACAATACCTTCAGTCCCATGGTCAAAACGGCCACCATTCATATAGTTCTTAGCCTTGATGTTACTCATGGATGGTCCATCCGTCAGTGTGAGAATGTGAAGGTAAAAGAGTTTTATATCGGAAAACGAAGAAACCTTGCAGAGGCTTATGAAAGGTTGGGCTACTCTCTATATTGTCAATTAGTTTTATGATGGACCCTCTTCTTTATTCATGGCATCATAGTAGGTTGGCCCATGTGTGAAGTCTAAAGGCCACACGTGCTCCATGGCCACCCAATTCATGTTGTCCACTTATTTGACTTAAAAATTCGCCGCATGTGAAGGGATATATGGGAGTAAAATTTAGAGGCTCATTTGATACTTAATTTACTTATAATTTTTAGTTTTAGTTTTCATTTTTTAGCTAAAGATAGAGGACAAATACATTATCATCTATGTGACTGTTGCTGTGTGTAGTCCTAGGATCCATCTATGTGAGCCTATCTTGAAAACATATGGTGGAGTCTTATTGGTATTGGTACGATTGATCAACCTTGCATGTAATATTAATTTGAGCCACCCGTTTCGTCTAGAACAAATTTTTATTTGTTCGGGCTTTAACTGTTTTGTATTAGTTCCATATGATATGAGATGATAATTAAGTGATAAATCTAATCGATCAAAATATTGGATTTTTTAGACATTTTAAGTGCATAATAAACGTTTTTAATCACTTGAACTACAAATTCTTTATTAAATAATAAAAGTTGTTACACTTGGGTTATCTATTTTCTATATCACTGAGAAGAAAAGAACTCAAGTAAAAGTGCTTATTTTAGTATTGGTAGAACCCATCATTTTGCACATGACACAGTGGATAGTGAACATAGCTTGATGTCCATGGAATTGGAACCGCTGGTTTTTCGTCAGCTGATTTTTTCACTTCTTCAACAACTACTATGGTGGCGAAGCCAAGCTTGTTCTTCAACAACTTGGCCAAGCAAACGGCATCAACTCCATTTCCGATCACCTCCACCTGCCCTTTGTCTACTTATATGGACACTTTGCTCACACCTGATTAGGTAGTAATTAACCCACAATTAATTAATTAATTAATTAATTAATCATCAATCATTAAGGCAGTCTCAAATAAATTCGTAGTTATCTGAAATTTGATGCATACACCTTTGGCCTTTGCAGCAATCTTCAAGGCCTTGGTTCTGCACTTCTCAGAGTTTAGTTGCACTTTCATGACAATCTTTTGCTGCATATATGAAGATCACACATAGTTAAAGCCTATGGTTTCATCTTCCTACAAATGAAAATGTAACTTTGATAAAACAAACAGAATACGTTGTTTTTATTTATTTATTTATTTATTTTTTGGTATATAAGTGATCGGTGGGAGTAGGGACCTTCAAATACAAACCTCGTGTATGAGATAAACACTGTTAACTACTTGAACTACAATTGCGGTGCAATGAATATTGAAATACATTATGTTTTAAGAACAAATTAATCAAAGGGCTTGCCTTCATGCTGGAGAGGGAAGGTTGCTCTTTCGGAACGCAAAAGCACTCTATAAATCTATCTATATTTGACTGCATTTTTTCTCCACTTCAACACGTACAAAGTACTTGGAATGCTATGCTTTATTTATAGGAGCCTAGTCTTTGTAAAATATATTACCTTGGGTTGACCTGTCCCCACAGATACAGCGTGTCTTAAACTAGACTTCAAGCAAATACATGGAAACCAACATTTCCACAAACTGAGACAAAACTGTGCTTAGGTTCAAATTTGGCTCCAAAATACTTTGATTTTTCAGATGGAACACAAATAAAAGGGGGAGAGAGACGTTCCAACATTTCCACAAACTGAGCCAAAACCGTGCTTAGATTTTTCAGATGGAATACAAATTAAGGGAGGGAGGGAGAGAGAGAGAGAGAGGAGAGGGGGATAGAGGTATTATATATATATATATATATGGATAATGCTTGCATTTCTTTTTTGGGATTTCATTCCTTCATTTGCGAATGATGAATTTTCACAGTAGAAATTCATAATCGAGACCGGTCAATATCTTAATCTTCATTTAAAGATCATCTTTAAAAAAAAATCATTCGAATTGGAGATTGTTTAGTTATCCAACTATATCAAATAAATCAACGAGTCATCATGAATACACTACTTGGTACTTTTGTCGTTGATTTATTTCATGCATTTAGATGACTAAACAATTTCCAATCCGAAGATTTTTTATTTTTATTTTTTTATATAGAGATGATCTTCCAATGAAGATTATAAGAGATTAATCAGTTTTGACTATGAAAATTCTACGGTGAAGATACGTTATTTGCAAGTAAGGGAATGCAAGTATTATTATGGTAGCAAAAATATGTCATCTTCAATCTTGACGAATTTGTACCTACAAAACAATTAACATCTTTGATCAAAGACCACACGAGGTGGGGGAGAGTTTGGCTAATGGATCTCCGATGCCTAAGTCAGTATCTTTAAAAAGAGTGAGTATTTAGGACTTGTATGTGTAGCAAAAGCTTACCAAAATTTGGTAGAGATGGAAAGTATGTTTGTCTATGTGTTAGTTTTATGTGTTTAAATAGTTTTATTAATTTATAAAAGTACAAGAAGGATATTGGTTTGATAATTCATACCTCCAATCTAAATAATAGGAGTGCAACTTGGGTTGGGTTAACACGAATCGCCCATGCCTAATTCGATTTCAAAACAGATCGGGCGGGTTGGAATTTAGTAGAAACCCGTCCAAACTTCACCCGACCATTTATTGGGTTAGGTTTAGTTGATGTCTTGTCCACCAATTTTAACCCAACCCAGATTTCTAACCCGAACTCTATCATGTTCATATTACCCAATCCGCTTTGTAGTATATAAGTTAGGTACATGTTTTGTTTGGGATGACCATGAATAAGATCTTTTGTTGTTTTTTATTTGAACAATGAGTCATGATGTTGCTTTTACATTCTTTTAGTTGAAACTTTAGTATTCTTTTGTAATTTTATTTTGAACTTCGCATGGTTGAAATATTGGATTTGGTCTCCACAATATTTGGTTTTCTTTTGTGTGGATGATGTGTAAAATTGAATTTTAACTAGTATTAACGTTGTATGGTTCAAAATTTTAAAATCTTACAAAATAAGGTGTTATAAGATTGAACTTGATAAAGTTGGGCAAACCCCAACACAACCAAGTAAACCCGAACCCAATTGAAGCCCGAACCCGAATAAACCCGCATGAACTTGAACCCAACCCAAACGTGAAATGCAAATGTTGGATTAGGGTTGGGTTGGCCATCCAACACGCCCAAGTTGCACCCGTACTAAACATAATGATACTCTTACCTGATTGATTAAACATCTTTGACTTCATCTGAAATTTATTTTTGACGGTCTCCTTGAGTACATGAACCATGTTCGATAAATTGGACATTTAGTAGGGTCCACTTCGTAATTTACTTTAACGATCCAAATCGTTTATATTTTAGTATATCATTTATAGATCATTGGTGCAGAAAATTAGACAAATCCAAAACCATTAAGACATTAATTTAGAGTGAAGAAATTGGACAAATATAGTTCTACAAAAAAATGTTAGGAGTATAAGATCAATGGTTGAGCTATTTGACAAGTGTCATTAGATTACATAGGCAGCTATAATTGTTGTAATGGTCGCTTATCTTGTAAGCTGTCATAGTTAGGACAATATATACTAAGCTTGTAAGAAAATATGAATTAGTTAATGAAACAATACAATTGAGCTCTTTCTTCCTCTCTAAGTAATCGTACGATCTCTCTGTCTGTTCTTCATTCCTCTCTAAGGTTCTGCGTTCTACATTTGATTGATCTTGGTTTACAAGAAACAATAAATTTAATTTAACAGTCGTATGATTTTGAATTTGAGTGATTTTCTGTAGACATAATCTATGAGGTAAGACGTAAAAGATAAACGGTTGGATAATTGAAATACTTTACAGAGTGAGCTTCACAAAAATATGTGTCCAATACATGTCAAAAGCATGTGCCACGGGATCCTAATAACCCTATATATAAGTAACTAAATGATAAAGTTTCTTGACAACCAGTCAACTGTACATAGTCTAATTACTAATTATTTATACTATGATAGTATCCAAAATGAGTGAGAGAATAAGAACAAAATCAATCAATTGCAACTTTCATCATCACTCCGCGTTTAGTCAAGGACAAACATCCTGTAGTTACTTATGTTATTGCTGAAGTCGCACGGCATAGGAATCATCTATGCTTGTGAGTCAATCCAAGCAAAAACTTATACTTGTGGTGGGCTTTTTGTGGTTGGCGTTTTGTGCTTGCAGGATCGCTTACAAAAAAAAACATTACCACAAGCTAAAAGTTTCTCCCAAAATTATTACCTGATGAAGATTTAATGTAATCGATCACCAAAACATAATCACCAGTCACACAAGCTAAAAACTCAAAACCCCATAACATCATTTGGTCATTAGTTAGCCCTATTTTGAATGCATGCCCCTATGAATTGCAGTGAAAAAAAATAAAAAATAAAAAAAAACACCACGTGAAACATGTTTCAGGTACACGTAAATATTTTTCTATAAGCTAAAGTATAACTTTCATGTAACGATGATGTACTCCCCCCATGCATGAGTGGGAGTGAGAGTGGGATAGAGGTGAAACATCACTGTTATAGATGTGCCCTTAACTCATGAAAATTTTCACATGTCAATTTTTATTTTATCAAAGGCGGTGTAAACTTAAACCTGATTCTTTCTCTTAAATGTATATTGACAGGTAATGTGTGTGGATTCTCAGTTGCCCAGTTTGTAGTAGGAGACAAAGGTACAAGTCCATGGTTAAAAAGATCCAACAAAATCTAAATTGTAGTACAAGTATAGAGATTATAATTTCAAAATAGTGGTATAACTCAGCATTCAGCACAAATGAGCATTGACAATCTTGATTGTGAATGTTGGTTGGTAAAGATGATTAATCATTAAACTCAAAGTCAATAACAATTACATAATAGAACAATTGGTTTCTTGTGGATATTGATCATGAACTACGTGATGGTGTGGAGGATGTTGTGGATATTGGATATAGCTTGATGTCCAAGTTATTGGATAAGTAGTTGGCTTTTTCTCGTCGGTTTTTCCTTTAACTTCTTCAACACTTAGTATGGTGGCATGTCCAAGCTTCTTCCTCAACGACATGGTCAATCTCATGGAATCAACTCCATCTCCAATCACCTCCAGTTGCTCTTTCTCCGCATCTATCGACACTTTGCTCACGCCTGCTTACATGATCGATCATATGTTAATATTCATTAGTTAAGATAAAAATGATTATATTGTTCCCAAAGAATATATAAAAAAATAACATAAGAGTGCCTAAATCATGTCCCGGTCATAGAAGGACAAGCATACCCCGAATTGTATTTTGGCCCTCTAATATACATATTTTAATGTATAGCTGGGCCACATGGGTTCCAAAAAGATTAGCTTGGCGAAAAGGCTTGCTATATTTGCCAAGCCTGTAGCCCTTCGGCCTGCTGATCACTAGATGCAGCCTACTTTTAACCTGCTTGCTGGAGATGGCTTTTAGATATTTTATGGACTAAAAGATCCCTTTAGATCGTGGATGAGGATGGCCTTAAGTTTAAAGATCGGTGCATATATTTTGCATACCTTTAGCGACTGCAGCAATCTTCAAGGCCTTGGTTCTGAGTTTTTCAGAGCTCAAGTGCCCCTTCATAACAATCTTTTGCTGCACCATTGTATAAAAGGCTAGCTTGTTTTTCGTACGGAAACTCTATATTCTACTAATCGATGAATTTTTGTTGAGTGTTCCTAGTGCTTGAGCACTTTAGAGGTCAATAAAAAGTAGCAAAAAGCTATGCTGTATTTATAGGAGCTTCGAATCATTACCTGCTGTTGACTAATCTCAACTGCAGACGAGATATTCCCACAGCTTACAAGCCTAGGTTTCCACACGCTTGGTCAAAGCCACCGTAGATTACTCAAATTCTTTAGTAAGACCCAGTCGATTCTACTTTGATTTGATTAAAATTATTAGTTGGAAATTAATCTTTCATTTACTTTACGTGAAATACACATAGCAGCTAGCTAGCTAGCTGTAGAAGCTTCTTGTGATTCCAGAATGAATAAAGTGAACTTCATGACACGAATCATATATATGTGCAAGCCTTTAAATTACGCCTTTTTTTTTAATTGATTATTACACAAAGTATTACAAACGATGTCACATCCCGGCCCTGGCGGGACCACTTCCCAGGCCCGACTCCACCATCGTAGCCCGATATTGTCCGCTTTGGGCTTACCATTCCCTCATGGTTTTGTCTTTCGAAACTCACGAGCAACTTCCCAGTAGGTCACCTATCATGGGATTGCTCTAGCCCCCTTCTCGCTTAACTTCGGAGTTCCTACGGAATCCGAAGCCAGTGAGCTCCCAAAAGGCCTCGTGCTAGGTAGGGATGAGAATATACATATAAGGATCACACCCCTGGGCGATGTGAGATGTCACAATCCACCCCCCTTAGGGGCCCAACGTCCTCGTCGGCACACACGTGACCAGGGTTAGGCTTTGATACCAAATGTCACATCCCGGCCCGGGGTAGATCACTTCCCTGGCCCGCTCCACCACCGTAGCACGATATTGTCCGCTTTAGGCTTACCATTCCCTCACGGTTTTGTTTTTGGGAACTCACGAGCAACTTCCCAGTGGGTCACCCATCATGGGATTGCTCTAGCCCCCTTCTCGCTTAACTTCGAAGTTCCTACGGAACCCATAGCCAGTGAACTCCCAAAAGGCCTCGTGCTAGGTAGAGATGGGAATATACATATAAGGATCACTCCCATGGGTGATGTGGGATCTTACAATCCACCTCCCTTAGCTGCCCGACGTCCTCGTTGGCACACCACGGCCAGGGTTAGGCTCTGATACCAAATTGTCACATCCCGGCCCGGAGGGGACCACTTCCCGGGCCCACTCGACCACCGTAGCACGATATTGTCCTCTTTGGGCCCCGATGACGCCTTCACGGTTTTGTTTCTGGGAACTCACACGAGAATTTCCCAATAGGTCACCTATCCTAGGAGTGCTCTCGTGCGCCCTTCTCGCTTAACTTCGAAGTTCCTACGGAACCCAAAGCCAGTGAGCTCCCAAAAGGCCTCGTGCTAGGTAGGGATGAGAATATACATATAAGGATCACTCCCTTGCAAAGTCATGTTTAGCTTTGGGCTCAATACTTACAGACAATTTTATATAACATTAAAAAGCAGGGTGCTCATGACTTGCGCATATTAACTTCAGAGTTAAAAGTAGGATCCCCACCTTTGAAGATACAAAAATTGGTTTTATGATTAATCCACGTGACACCATATGATTGTATCCATGTGACTCACTCGTTTGCCACATAAGCATATTAACAGAGAATTTAATGAAAATGTAACAAAATGATTGAATTGATTTGCGGTCCATTTTTAGGGATCAAATTGATGGATTTTTAATTTCAAAAATCATTTTGATAGGAACAAGGTTCTAAAAATTGCTAGGCATTAGTCGGGCGGCAGGCAGGGGCCTAGCGCCTAGGCGGCCTAGGCGGATTTATGTAAATTTATTATATATCTTGTAAATAAGTGTCTATTTACACCTAAAAAAAAATATATTTGTATGAATAATAAAAGAATGATAAAATGAAAAAATAGAAGTAGAAAAATACACAAATTATATCATTAGTATGTTGATGAATTTGATGGAATAAGATACAAGTTCAAATGATACAAATTTGTAGTACTTTAGGAAATTTTTTCAAAGATGATATGAATTTATAGTGCATTTAAAGAAGAATAAATGTGCCAAATATATGTTTAGAAATCATTTAATCTTTGAAAACAAAGTATTTGACAACAAAAGAAAGTATTTAATCAACAATTTAAAATAAGGGAGTTTTAACGAAAAGCTTACGGTATTGTTTACTTTAACGAAGAACGATATTTTTACACTAAAAAGTCAATCCTGGTACTATTCACTTTACTCTTTATTTTGTCCTTATTATTAAAATTCAAAGTTTTCAAGTTTTTTTCATTAGTTTTCCTTTAAAATATTTACATAAAAAAAAATGGAGGGTGGGAAACCAAGATACATATAAGGGAGGGAGGTGGGGCACCATTGTGCTAGCTATACGCATGTACCCTCCATTTTCTCTCTTCTTCTTCTTCCTCTCGTCTTCCTCGCTGGAATTCAAAACCCACTAACTGTGCAGCTATGCTCTGCATTCCTCCTTCCGCATTTTGAAAACAGAAAAAGGCAATGAAATGCCAAGACCGCCTAGGCCATCCAATCGCCCACCTAGGCCGCCCAAGCGCCGCCCCGGACCACCTCGGCTCCCGCTTGATCCCTTCCTAGATTTTCCTCCCGACTATAGGTTAATCACAGCGGTTGACCACTGCCTAGAGCCTAGGCCGATTTTTAGAACACTGGATAGGAAGGTCCAATTTCAAAGACCAAACCGTGATAAAAACCCTACATATAATTTAGTTTAACATTTGGTTGTTTAATTGGAGATAGCATAATAACAGAAAAGATCAATTAAACAATAGATAAAGAGAAAAGATCAATTAACCAATAGATAAAGAGATAAGATCAGTTAAACAGTAGCTTACTTGACATGTGGATCGGGTGCCTATGATTGAACTATTCTACCTCGATTGTAACCTCACTTTGAGGCCACAAGAGTAGTGCATGGCAACGATTGAACTATTCTACCTAGCTTTGTCGGGTGGTGGGGGCCGGAGGTCACAAGAGTAGGACATGGCTATGATTGAACTATTCTATCTAGCTTTGTGTGTGTGTGTGTGTGTGGGGAGGGGGGATGTGGGAGTGAGGTCACAAGAGTAGTACATGGTGAGGTCACAAGAGTAGTACATGGTGTAGATTAACTTGAGACTTGGGTTGTCTGCCCTCCCCATTCCATACATTTTCCATCCCCTCTTATTTCTGTGGTCACGGTTAAGTTACGTCAATATTTCACATTTTCATTGTTTTTGGTCTTATTATTTCTATAAAAAAAATCAATATAAAATGTTGATGTGACTTAACCGTGACCACAAAAATAGGTGAGGATGGGAAGGGTATGGGATGGGGGAGGGCAGACAATCCAGGTCCATTAACTTGGCCATCTTTCGATGATTCCCTGCATGGTGTAGATTAGTTTGGCCATCTTTCGATGAATTCCCTGTAAAGTACGTAGAGGGAGAATAATGTTACGCAAATTGAAAGTCGAATTTGAAATTAAGTTTAAGCTTTTACCCGGTTCAAAAAAAAAAGTTTATTATTTTATAATAGAAAAATGTTAGAGAAACGACAGTTTTATTTCATTTTTTAAAAAGATGATCAACCGGTGGCTTTGTCACAACAGTCTACTCTTTCGAGGGCCGAGAAGACTTACATAGGCATTTTAGTCTCCCCTGGCCACCATCTTGTGATTCACCTAGCTCCAGGAATCAAACCCAAGACATATGCCGTGTAGAATTCGTCTCCAACCACTGGACCACCTAGACAGTTTTAGACTACAATGATTCACTATCTGATGTGGCAAGTAATAAGTTTTCGTATGTGTAATGTACATAAAATTAAGTTGCCTCCAATGGTTCTTTCGCAATGAAACCTTCAGTCCCATAATCAAAAGCAAAACGAAATCATCTCTTGGATATAATAAAGTTGTGTCATCACCACATTTCTACTCTTGTGGTGAAATTACACCCTAATTTGTTATTGAGTTGGAGTCATAACTTTCGAGCCTTCTTCTTTAGTATTCTACCTAGTCAGCTCAATTCTTTGATCTTCCCTATCCTTTTTCTTTTCCTGGTTTGATGATGAAATAAAACAATAATATGGGTGCATCATCTTCAATGATCAATTTCTTACTTTACAAAGAATCTTGCGTATACATTAAATAAGGTAGATGGCCTGATCGGCCACCACTGATCTATACTCAAGATCACAAAAGTCACCGTAACAAGCGAGTCCACATCACTCATAAAGCTAGACAACACCCACAACATATCTTGGCTAGAATGTATTAATGTATTTTGGCTGCTTCATCAATGGAATAACTCATTTTTTATGGAAAAATAAAAGAAACGGACCCCTAGAAGATTGGTTGAACCTTCGACCTTGTGGTTAACAGCCACCCACACGCGGAGAAATCTTAGGTGGACAGGACCAATTTTGTAGAGAAATCAAGAAATAGAGATAATTTAAGTGCGTTGACACCCTGATTAACCATGCATCCACACATGCTGCTATATAATCATACTTTCACCCATTTATTGGTCGAAAATTAGTATGGATCAGTACAAGTACATAATTAAAGGCAACTCATATAAATGACGGTCTCTTTGTCATAAAAGTGTTTCTGATAAAAGCACTTATGAAAAAGTGTTTCTGACAAACTTGTTATGATCAGAAGTGTTTCCTAGTACCTGAGCAATTCCATATGGGTTAGGAAACACATGAAAAAGGCACAAGCAGAAACACAAACAAAATTTCAAAGAGACAAGCAATTGATATAAAAATATTTCTTATGAACTTTAGATCCATGCATCTACAAGGGAAAAGAGAAAATGAAAATGATCATAATCAAGTTCAACTTATTCATGTCATACGCAATTACATTATGGAGCAAGTGGTTGGTTCTGGATATTCATGAACCAGTTCACAGTACATTGGACGAAACTGGGTAGCGCAACACCTTTGAACACAGCTTGGTGAAGGAGCTGGAGTAGGTGGAGGAGCTGGAGGTGGCTTTTTCTCAGTTTTATCTGCCGGCTTCACTACTTCAACTTTGACTAGGGTGCAGGAACAGCCGAACTTTTTCCTCAATGACCTCATCAAGCAGACCGAGTCTACACCATCCCCGATCACCGCCACATGATCTTTGTTTGCTCCTTCTATCGACACTTTACTAACACCTGCTTTCATTAATTATGATACCCTTTAATAACCATGCCAACTATAATTAACAATGAAATCGTTGAAAGAAAATTTGAATCATGATAATATCAAAAGGCACATACCGTGTGCAGCAGCTGCAATCTTCAAGGCCTTGGTTCTGCATTTGTCGCAGTGCATTGATACCTTCACAACGATCTTCATTTGCTGCACCATCAATTTGTACAAAAGATGTATAAACAACATGATCAATTTATACATTTAATTAATGTCAGCTAATTTAAGAAAACCTTCCCGCCTTATTAATTAGTTTCAGTTGGATTAAAAGAAAAAAGTTATATAACTGCAACAAGATGCAAGAGTAGTAAAATATATACATATATGAAAAGGCTTACCGGCGACATTTTGGAGAGAATGTTGTGTGAAATATGGAAGTTAAAGTTTTTGGGATGGAAACCCTATGAATCAGCGAAAGTAGAACTCTATATCGATTACCTTGCTACTTATAGAAGATAGGATCCCCTTTAATATTTTTCTTGACTTGTATTACAAGTCCATGCATGCCTACCCTGCACCAATCACATGAGATCTTACCTTTCTTTTTCTTTTCTTTTTTAGTGAAAAATATGAGATCGCATATATCTTACAGACAAGATTTTTTTTATTGTTTATAAAAAAAGTCACGTCTGAAGAGAGAGTGAAAAAAGTCTTATTGGCGGTATGAATTCTAAAACACCACTGTGCTCAGTTTTGCGCCAAACCCTTCATTAGCTCCAAATATCATGTCTTAATGTTGAAAAATGTTCCAAATTTGCATAACTGTTGGTACACCTAATAGTTAATAAAAACATAAAATAAAAGATGAGTAATATAGCTACTACTGTACTAGCTAGCAACCGCATGTGTGGCTGATGCTTAAAAAAAAAAAAAAAATACTAGCTAGCAACTGAACTTCAAGAAAATTAATCAAAACATTTTGAAGAACACGATTCGACCACTGAAAAGTTATCCACATGCCTTACACTCTGAAGCACCCCACGTAGCTATAATTAATCCACTTGATCTATATCATAACGATAACGAAATTTAGTATTACTGGAGACAATTATATTTTCATATCCAGAATTTGAACGCATACTAATATGTTTCATCCAATCTGCATTAGCTAATAGATTAATAATTTCTATTGGCCAAAAAGCATATTGTTTGAGGATCAATTAGACTCATGCAGACATGTCAAAATTATTTAAACTGAAAACACACTCAGAAATTTATTTAGATTAATACATCTTCCAAATTATACACAGTAATTCACGGATATTTATGAAAGCAATATTTAATTCTCACAATTCATCTTTGTTCATTGTGTAATGACCCACAAAAAACTACGGTTTTTATAATTTTAAAATATTGTGAGATCTCACATCGACCAACAGAAAACAGGTGATGTGCCCTATATGTACACACTGAAAAATTTATTTAGATTTAATACATCGTCAAAAGTTACTGAAAGAAAATCTATTACTACTCCAATATAATACAGAAATACCAAATTCAATAATTTCAATGGTTATTCAAATTCAATAACTTTAGAATACAAGGAAAACTAATGAAAAGGGCTTGAAAACTTTGAGTTTTAATGATGACGACAAAATAAAGGATAGAATGAATAGTACGAGGTTTGACTTTTTAATGTAAAAATATGATTTTTCGTTAAAGTGAACAGTACCATGGGTCTTTCGTTAAAACTTCCTAAAATATAAGAATACTAAATTCAACGTTTGTAGCCTAAAAAACCAGAGGAACAGTATTCGTGAGAATTGATGACTACCTATTTGAAAAATGTACCTGAAGATTGAATTTCATCAAATAAATCATAAAAATGCAGAAAATTAGTAAACCCAAAATTATAAATTGTTACATCATCCATTTTAGTCATGCATAAATACACCATCACACATAACAAATTTGCCTATATGACAATGATACACAATGTAATTGTTCAGATTCATGCGTAAATACCTTTATCACGTTATGATGTTTGCTTGTTGAATTTGCCCCTGGAGTCCTGACTAATGTGATCTCCTTCAGTGGCGCATGAGCTCTTTTCTCCAAAGTTGCTTCCTTCAAAAAACCCAAAACATATCACATAAAGCATCAACGCTATTACTGCTTATTAAAGAAATTAGTCACAACAGGTATCATATACATCAGTTCTAAACCTAAAAGGCATCGGATTTGTAAGCTTTGGTTTCCTATACTTCTCCCACTGAGCATTGCTGGCAATAGATGTGGAGTTTTCTTTCTAAATCTTATCTGCTTGATTGACCTGCATCGTTGTTCAAGCATTAAAAGGCATAAAAAACCATAAGGGAGAAATGAACAAACATAAACACTCCGAAGATATGTCATTCTCATATATTTGTAGCCTTCTTCAAGGCTTGGAATTATATAACTATTTTTTCCCTAATAGTTCTTATTTATACTTTTACTGGATTTGCATCACTTCTTTTACATTAATAAAAGAAAATGGACAGTTTCGAAAAACCTCAGAGCCAGTACCAATGAGCTTAAACATAACAGATAAGAGCTAATGAGATAGAGCTAAGCTACTTCACCTCTTCCATAATTCCAAGTCTCCATCCAAGCCTAGACATCCAGACATTGCCCAGATAGGTGTCGCATCTTGACCTGCAAGATTTACACATAATTGCAAAATTGGAAGAGGTTTAAACATGAACAGATTGTAAAACGCAAAACTTTATAGCACCAAATTGCGTTGCAAGCAAGCACCAACCAAAAACATCAGCAGCATCTGGTTGAAAAAATTCAGATCTTTAAATAACTGAAAATTCAGTTTTATGGAATAAGATGGGAAAATCAGAATTCTCCACGGATAATGCCAACTTTATTCTCTGCTGTTTGGTGAAATCTACAGAACAGAGAAAAATATTTAAAAAAAAAACCGAGAGGATTTATAGAGCTACCCTGAATTTAAGTGACTGCCCAGCTCTCATTCAACTCTCAGAAAGAACCCAAAATGGTGAAAAGTTATTGACCAAGGGAGTGAGAGAAATGTGAAGAGAGAAGAAAGAAGCCAAACAACAGAAAGTCCCATAGAGTGATCCAATTCAAGTTCAAGGGATTAAATCTGCAACCAAAATCAATAACAAAGCAACCCATAAAGTTATGAAACTAATCCTATGTATTTGAAACTATTTAACAATTTTTACCTTGAGTTTCGAAAATATAGAATCCAATCAAATTAAAATCCATAGTATGAAATTAAGAATCTCAATTAAACAAAAACTACCTAATTAATTGGATATCCTGGCGAGTACTGCATGTTTCATTACAGAAAAGTGGTAGTTGAAAAACCTCATATTTAAGAACTGAACTGAGGAGCTGGTTTACGTTGTGAAAGTAAAGCGACAAGTAACTTCTCCATTTCGAGATCAGCAGATCAGAGTTTGGAGCTGTCAGATTCTCTCTGTCTCAATCAACCAAGTTCTCCATTTCAAATTCATTGAATACGAATTCAAAAACTAAAACTCTTTTAATTTTCCGTGTGTATTCAATGATTTGCTTCCTGTAAAAATAGGAAATATGGAATAATTATTTGGCAATGGAATCATATATAGAGCTAGAAGAGGAAGTAAAGAAGATATGTCAAAGCAAATTAAGAGATCATCATATTACAAAAGCTACAATGGTAAATTAAGAGATCATCATATTTAGAAACAGAGACACGTATAAAGCCGCAAAAAAATTATTATTACCGACAAAATACTGGAAAATCTAAAGGCTAGGGATTTTCACTTTCTTAGCGAAAAAAATAATTCAAAAAAATAAATTGTTTCTGAGTGAGATAACCCAAAATCATCTTCGACAGCAAAGAAACAATGGATTGAGAAATCATACCTTAATGGGAGACCAGTGTTTAACAAACAGTATTTTAGGCAAAAATGAGTTTTAGTTATGTATCAGTATTCAAAATTATGTAAATTTTTTTACAGAGTCAAGAAAATATAATATAGAACTGTTAAATTGAAATCGTAAACCCAAAACCCAATCAAATTAAAATCCCTAAAATCAAATTTAAGAATCCCAATTAAACAAAAATTGATCTAATTAATTGGATATCCTGGCAAGTATTACTCAAATGTTTCGTTTCAAAAAAGAGGTAGCTGAGAAACCCCATACCTGAAAACTGGACTCAAAAGCTGGATTATGCTGCGGAATTGAAGTGAGAAGTTACTTCTCCGTTTTAAGGTCTGCAAATCACAGTTTGCAGCTGTCCTGATTCATACCATTTTAAATTTTACATTTGTTTCAATCTGTATCATGTGTCTATGAACATTTAGTTGTAATGATAAAAGTCAAATCTCTCCTACGTATAAAAAGGTTGAGTAAGCAGCCAAAACAACAGGGCAATCAAGCAAGTGGTCGCAGGTACACAAAGTAATTTATACGTAAGCAGCGAACGTATATATACATCTCAAAATGAAAATTTCACCTGGTGATCCAACCTATTAGCATCAAAGTAAACTTCAACTCTGCATTCCAACCGTCTCATTCTTTCTTCCTGCTAGTTTTCAAACAAATCTGTAGAGTAGAGTGAATGAGTAAAACTATAGATTACCACAATCAAAAAACAATTAGAAGTAAGATATACATGAATAATTAGGAGTATATATATGTACAATGGATGAATAATGAATATGTGATATTTACCAACAAACTAAGATAAAGAGTTCATTTTACGATAATTATTCATAAGCAATATCCTTACTGCATTGTTGGTTAGAAGAAAAAAAAAAAAGAAAATAACGATTAACATTATTTGCAATTCTTACTGTTTTTACCTAATCATTTGCAGGATGCATAAGGGGAAAAAAAAACTTTTTTACTTCTTCCCGTCGCATAAATTTGGATTTCACCTCATCCAAACAAACGAACAATCATTGTTATATTTTTTTCAATATGTAATACCAATTTGAAAAAGAAAAAGATAATCTAGTTGACAAGTTTAAATTCAATTTTTATATTTCAATATATTTGTTTGTCAAACTCAGTGATCAAACTTTACACTCATGCTTTCCAAAAAGAAAAAAGAAAAAACGAAGAAGAATTGAAAGTAAAAATGTGAAATTGTAACCTATGACAATAAGATCAGCTAGCAAAACAACAAATTTGATTTCAGCTTTTTATGGTATTGAAATAGAAAACTTTCTCTGCTAAGTTTTCTGATTGTATTGAATAATAAAATCAGTTACACAGATGTGAATATATATATAGCCTTAGCTGCCTTAGGCTAGTTACAAGAATACCCTCAACTATCTTAACTAATTACAGTAACTAACAGAACTGATTACATTTAGCTTTATCATACTATTTAACAGTAACTACATTGGATGACTTGTCATTTGCCCTATTACACCCCCTCAAGCTAAAGGAGGAATCAGTGAGGATTCCAATTGGAAGCTTGGAACAGAAAAAAGAGAACCTGCTCTTAGACAAAGATTTGGTGTGAAGATCAGCCAATTGGTCTTCACTACAAACATATTGAACTTTGATGAGATTTGCATGAACCAACTCCCGGATATAGTGATAGTCAATCTCAACATGCTTGGTTCGAGCATGAAAAATAGGATTAGAGGCTAAAGAGATTGCAGAGATATTATCACACCATAGGGTAGGTAGAGTAGGAAGAGGGAAATGAAGATCTTTGAGAATTTTGCAAACCCAAGTGAGTTCTGCTGCAGTTGAGCTAAAGAACGATATTCAACTTCTATAGAGGAACGAGCAACAGTGCTTTGTTTCTTTGCACTCCCAACTGATGAGATTAGAGCCAAGAAAAACACAATATCCACTGGTGGACCGCCTGTCAAATGTGCAGCCAGCCCAATCAACATCAGAGTAAGCTGAAAGAGTGATGGGACCTTTAGTAAACCATAAACCATGAGAAATAGAACCTTTAAGAAATCTGAGAACCCTTTTTGCTGCTTGAAGGTGTTGTTCTCTTGGAGCATGCATAAACTGACATATCTGATTAACAGCAAATGCAAGATCCGGTTGAGTCCAAGTGAGATGTAATCCACCAACTATGGAACGATATTCAGTGGGATTGGATAAGAGAGGCCCACTGTGGTCCAGCTTCTGAGACCCGAGAGGAGTGCAACAAGGTTTGGCACCTTCCATATTTGTTTTCTTGAGGAGATCAAGTAAGTACTTGGTCTGATGGAGAAAGAGGCCATTGGGAGATCTGTGAACTTCCAATCCCAAGAAACAGTGTAAAGGACCAAGATCTTTCACTGGAAACTGAGTGCTAAGTTGCTGGATAAACTGTTGACAGAGTTGAGAATTGGGGCCAGTAACTAGAATATCATCCACATAAACAAGAACAATGACTAACTGAGGTCCATGAAGGACAAACAAAGAAGCATCAGATTGGGATTGGTGAAACCCAAGTGTATGAAGGGCTTGAAACAATTTATCAAACCAAGCTCGAGGAGCTTGTTTCAAACCATATAAGGATTTCTTCAGCTTGCAAACAAAATGGGAAGAGTTGGAATCAAGAAAACCTGGGGGCTGTTGCATGTAAACATCCTCCTTTAAGTCTCCATGAAGAAAGGCATTGCTAATGTCTAATTGATTCAAGAACCAATTATATTGGACAGCAAGTGTAAAAAGAATTCGAATGGTAACGGGTTTAGCAACAGGACTGAAGGTTTCTTGAAAGTCAACTCCTTCTTGCTGATGAAATCCCTTTGCCACCAAGCGGGCTTTGTGTTTGTCAAGAGTGCCATCAGGATTTTTCTTGACCCGGAAAACCCATTTACAACCAACTACATTCTGAGAAGGATGAGGAGGAACAAGAGACCAAGTGCCTGTGGAGATTAAAGCATTATATTCAGCTTGCATGGCAGCTCTCCAGTGAGCATGCTTTGATGCTTCCAAATAAGTACTAGGAACAAAGTCAAGATCAACAAGAAGTGGATGTTTGGTTGCTGAATAAGCTCGAGACTTGTATATTCCAGCCTTAGATCTTGTAATCATAGGATCTGTATTCTCAGAAATTGGTGGATGACTTGGCTGAATAGGCACGAGAGAAGAATTACTGAGAGAGACAGAACTGGAAGAACTGAGCGAATGATCCACTGACTGAGTGCATGAAGGAACTTCAGGTGGAGGTGAGATCTGAGGAATAGAAGTAGGTGCAGAAGGACATGGTGATTCTGAAGAGGTACTAGTTGTAGGAGAACTTGAGACATATTTGCGGAAGTGAAGATCCAACGATGCAGAATATGCTGGAGATGAAGTCCCTGAATTTGAATTGTGACTCAGCAGGGACTTGAATGGATAAGAGTGTTCATCAAAAACAACATGTCGAGATATGTAGATCCTATTTGTCACGGGATCAAGACACCTATAGCCTTTATGTTGTAGACTATATCCCAAAAACACACAACTTTTGCTTTTAGCTTCCAGTTTGCTGGGAATGTAAGGCTTAAGCCAGGGATAACATTGACAGCCAAAAACTTTCAGTTTAGAGTAATTTGGGTGTTGATTGAAGAGAAGTTCCCAAGGAGACTTTGTAAGACCAGAAATAGGAAGCCTATTAATAAGATATATGGCAGTGGAGAAGGCTTCA